AGGCGCATCTTGTAAAGAGGAACAAGAGAGTATTCTCTCGAGAACGGGTAGCCAAAGTTCAACAGGCGGTAGTGGGAACGAGGTTATGTGCGACAGCGTTTCCGTAGACCTGGCAATATACGGGAAAATTGGAACGCTAGGCATTTTTGATGGTTCAAGTCCATCTCGTTCTTGTGCCCGCGTAACGTGTAAGTATTCCCTCAGGAAGATACTGCAGCCCACAGACTTTAACATGTAACTGTCGATTAAGATTCAAAATGCAGATGCGTCATCACCCCTAAGGACTTAATGGATTACCCTACCGATTTTCAGTAAAAAAGGGTCTCCGGATCACTACACTCGCCATACGTAAACGCAGGAGTATTAAGCTGCTATTGCACGCTGGTTTTCTGTGGGTGGTCCATCCCTGGTATCCAACCACAATATAGCTGCAGCGAGGCTCCGCCACGTAACTATTCGCATTAAATGTTCATGTCTTTCCTTTTTTATTTAATTCGTAACAAGGGAAAAGGTATTGAACAAACGAAGTTATATCGATCGTTATTTTCACAAAAAAAAAAAACGATTTAATACAATAGACACAATAACTCTGTGTACACTTAAACGGCAGAGGTAATATATTAAACTAAACACGAAAAAGCCATTTCGCAGTCGACTTACTGTGCCAAGAAAAATGGAATAAAGTTCAGAATGACATTAGCTTGGGCCGACAGCGCATCCCTAAACAAAAGTTGCCTTTTAAGACCGACGGTTAACTTTGTACGTAAATTTTTGTCATCATGAATGACAATAATTCACATGCAAAATGTGTTGTGACGTGTATCTCTCATTGATTTTTAATCATTCCTTTTTTAATGCTCTGATGGACATACTTTTTGAAGAATGTTTGAAATGGTATGTATCTTGACAGATGTAGATGTAAAATATTTATTCATAACGCTAGCAAGCGCTTGTAAGCAAAATAGCGAAACTAAACAGTTTTCGGCCAGGACACGTTTATTAACTTCAGTAGCGCTGACACAATCCGCCATTTTGCTTATTTAATTTGTTTGTTTTGAAGTAGAGTTTATAAGTTGCTTTGTGCAATATTAGTCTCTGCGCCCTCCTTTCTGCCAAGGAGGGTCGCGTTCGTCTACGGCTTAAAGTCTCTTGTCAGATCGGTAAGCCAAACCCAAAAGCTGGTGTTTAGTGGGTAAAAGTCTTCACATAACCACGCAGCCGGCTACGTGGTATGCTATGAACATTATCCACCTCCCTCCCCCGTTACCGGAGGGTCGCCCTTAATTGCTTCGGGCGCAAAAAAAAAATTAGTTTCAAGTTATATGACATGAATAAACATATTATATATGTTATTAAAAATTCATGATTGGTAAGTTTTTAATATAAAGATTTTACAAACATATATTTAAAATAAGTTAGGTTCCCCGGTTAAAGCTAACTTCGTTTCCTAAAGGAAAATAGCTACTTACGATTTGACAGCGCTTACCGCTTACGATCGCCATTTTGCTTACACCGATTCCTACCAAGGATGATACGCGAGGCTATTGAAATTAAAAAACATCCAAATTTCAATAGAGAAGATGGATGGGTGCTGCCACCTGCTTGGGATCCTATAATTAACAAAATTAAGCCCAAACCTAAGCATACCACTGCAAGACTTCATGATACTATAAGCTCGTTTTGCGTAAATCGGACCAAAAATTAATATTCAAAAACTGAAGGTAGCCGGACTAACTATGACATTGGGACGTCAAACATCTCAGTCCCCCCCCGTGACCATGGTTGCTGTAAAGCACCCGAAACGTCGGGAATTAAAAATAAGTAAAAGTAGTGAAATAAACGCGATAAAATCCGTAAATTTAGTTTTATTCAATGTGTAGTGTTCGCGTAAATTTAAGAAATCATCAAATAAAACAGTTAAATTTAATGCGAGAGAATCCGTAAAATTAGTTTTATTTAATAAGTAGTATCCGTATAAACATAAGAAATCATTATTCACTGTCATAAGAAAATCGAGTTCGATTGTCACCGGCACTAGGTGACGCTTGTCTATTAATTTTTAATCATACACAACCCTATGTATATGGACATCTCGATTTTTATATAGACATTGATAGAGACATGAAATTAATCTATGCTCTGTTTACACTACGGTGATAATTTGTTTTAAGTTTTATCAAAGACCAGCAGCAAGTTACACGGGAGAAAGGATTATATATATAAATGTGTGTGTGTGCCGACGGCTTCGCTTTGTCCTGTCGGTGCCGTTCCGCTGTACTTCTGACTCGCTTCCTATCGTTCTGCGGGTCAATGGAAAGAGACGACAACATAAAATAGATCTATGCACTGTTCACACTACGTAGACTATCTGCGCTAAATTTAATTGAAATCGGACAGTTTCACAGGCGAAAGCAATAAAACTCGACGACTCAATGGCACAGTGGCGTAGTGTTTAGTTGCGACGCCTAGGGTTTTGAGTTCGTATCTCACACGCAATAAGTATTTGTATGGCCTGCAAATATTTTGTCGGGTCTAGATGTTTGTCCTTGTGAAATTTATATACTGTCTCCACTATATAAGCGAAAATCCTTGGGTGGGGGTAACTTTTTTTTGGAAAGAAAAAAAATATTGCATCGGTGTCAGGAACGAAAGAGCCACGCCTTCTTCGCTTTGTCTAGTTGCCTCCGTTATTTTTCTTTTGACCCGATTCAAATGGCTTTGTTGGTAAATTAAAAGAACTAATAACATGAAACAAATCTATGTCTATATCTATAGTCTTTGGTGGTGACAACGCATTTGCGTTTTGATTTTTAATCGAGGACAAATATAGATGTCTATGGGCCACAGCATGGATTGTGTGCTCGTTTGTCATCCTTAATCTACAAAAAAAGAGAAAGAAAAGTCTGCTTTGGTCAGCTGATTCGTGGATAGTCTGCTACTCAACGTGTCCTTCAACTTGCCTACTCGAGACAGATGTCCCGCCACCAACGTACTCTGCGGAATATCAAAAGAAAAGAAAACACTTACTCCTAGTTCACAAAGTTGAAATTTTAAGGTAGTTTTTATAAAATAAATTTTATGGACGTAATTTAGTGAATAAGCAGTTCATTAAACATATTTATAGTTTTAATAGCTCGACCAGTGACGATAAAGGTAAAAGCACCATCACTACAACGGGATAGGCCCATCTAGACTTTTACGAGCCGACAAGGTAATATTTTTATAGAAATAAACCTGGAGATGAGCAGCAGTTTCCATCTAACAATAACACTTAAATTGGCAGATAGCAAAAAGATTAAAATTAAGTAATTTAATTGTTATTATAAGTTGATTAGTGTATTAGACGTCCTATATAATTAATAAAGAAAATCTTGCTGTGTTAATTTTTGAGAAAATTAATGTTCGGCACGACGGACATTGCGAAATATGTAGTAATCGACTAAAAATTATATATGTCCGATGCGATGGACATTATCCAATTAGGGGAAATAAAACTATGAAATTAATTTACCAAAAAATTTTTAATACTCCAAAAGAAAAATAAGGCACAAAGAACTTACAAGCTAATTATTTTGTATGAAAGTTTAAAAAACAATTGCAGGCATTCTTGCCTGTGACAAAGCATAATCTACTATTGCATTTTGTGTAATACTGCTGGTACCAAAACGGTTTTTTCTGGCAGTACCGGCATCTACCTTCTTCCATGACTGATGGAAAGTGGCCAAAATTGTCGTATTTTATCGGACTTGATGGAAGGGCTACACGAGGCTTTTTTATCTTAGAACTACCTGTTGCCTTCCGGTTTTTACAGCGCATCTCTCCTATTAAACTTTCATAAATTTGGAATCTGAAAGTTTTCAAAGGCATTTTGCGTCGTGAAATTCCTGCGTTCCTTTTTTCTCCACATCGTCCAGGCATTGTTGATACATATATCTAAAAATTGTGCGAAAATTCCCAAATACCACCTCCTACTTTTGAATGGTGTTTTAAAGAGTAATATGAGCATATCGGCGAAATCTACACCTTTCATATGCTGGTTGTGCTCTCGTACAACTTGCGGACACGGTACTTCCACTTTCTTCTTCTCTTCTTTGCTATATCTTAAAATCTTTCCCACTGGCTCACTTGCAGCATAGGAACTTATCAAAGTTACAGCCTCGTTATCGTTCCACCGAACTACAGCCAAACGACTCTTATTGCAAACAACCTCTGCGTAAGTTCTTCTAGGTTTCTTTTTCATCTCTTTTTCAGTTAGCATTTTTTGTTCAGCTCCTCGTAGATGATTGTTTCGAATAGTGCCTAAACCAAAAATACCGTAGTTTTCCAGCAGAAAATAAAACAGTTCCGGTGATGAGAAAAAAATATCGCAAAAGATGATTGCTGGCTTTTGGTTGATCGTTTGGCATAAGGCAATAACTACTTGAGCACCAAAACCAAGGGACAATTCTTCTTTAGAAAACGTATGGTATCGGAAATTATCGTCTCCCGCGTATATAACGAAGTCGTAAATAATTCCCGAAACACCAGCTCTGACATAATTTTTAAACCCCCATTTATTAGGTTTGTCCTTCATATACTGCTTTCTTTTCCCAGTCTTTGAACCTTTATAAGCTATTATCATCTCGTCAATGTTAAACTTTCTTTCATTATGTTGTTGTTTCAAACAATTTTGTCTAATTTTTTCAAATACTGGTCGTATACTTATAATATCTATCCCCAGCGTCGGATCTGCTGGTATCTTTTTAAAGACATTATATCGGCCACTTTGTCATATCTGTATTTTTCTGACCAGTAATCATGAATGGCTAAAAAATCGCGAAACTCATCTTCAGTCAGTTGAATTGACTTACCGGTTTCTTGAACAGAGTAGAAATTCATTTGGTCAACAATATCACTCATTATGTCCTTCGAAAAAAAATAATTCAAAGTATGACAAAGGTGCAGCACTGGGTTCAGGCATGTCAACATAATCCATATCTTCTTCTTCAACAATCGTCGCTCTATGGCGAAATTGCGCTTTTTTCCAAGTATACGTCAATTGCACTTTCTTCTTTATTCGTTTTGCCCTTTTTTGCAGCTGATGCAGTTGGTTGTTTTGATCTTGTTTTTCTAGATAATCGTGGAGTAATAGATGTGGCTGGTATTGAAGATACAGAAGGAATGTTAGATGGAAGCGAGGGAATGTTAGATGGAATATTCTCGTAGTTATATTGTCGTATTTCTTGCAGGATTGGTGTTAATGGAACTGTATCTAATAATGCTTCTTCTTCTGGTTCATATTGGGTATCAACAGGGTTGTCATCAAATGAGGAATCGAGGTTAAGATTTTCAAGCGAAGATGCAATGGATGGTGCAGAAGAGGATTCACAGTCAAACTCATGATGAGAATGTGCAGGAGAGGTGTTAGAGTCAAAATCATTCTGAGGCCTTACATAAACATTTTCAGGTTCAGAATCTGAATTCTCACTAGCATCGGAAGGGGCATGCTCTCGTGGAACCAAAGCCAATATTTTACTAGCACGAGTACTCTGTTGACAAGCAAAAGTGAACCAAAGTAAGCAAAAAAAACGCAAAATATAAACCAAACAAACAGCGTTAGTAATTTGGCAATGTTCGTCTCAGCGAACATAGAAACAAAATACAATATCTCTATGCATTTGTCAATGTTCGGTGTGACGGACAACGAGTTTTCGGACCCATAAAACAAACAAAATAACCATAGATTGTCAGTATTTGTAGTGTATCCCTTTTATAAACATATATACTAACACAAAAAACAAAACATGTTTAAAAATTGGTTAAAACAATAAAAAACAACATTAAATACCTTGAGAAAAACGGAGGGCCGCCTTTTCGTCGACATGTTGTGTCACGAATGACAGTTACGGTGTTGCCACATTCATATATTTTTTTCTACTAATAGTTTGTAAATTGCCAATAAATTAAATATAAAAATAATAATTTGCGTCATAGAAAAAATATTCGGCGGGTTTTTTATAAGTTAATGTTCGTCACACCGTACAAAACCAAATTAAGGGTTAACTATACGAAAAAATGCGGTCGCCAACCCGCCGGCTAAGGGTGACAACTATGGCAAATATCCCACTTATGAGGGAAAATATGTGAAAGGTCCATGTTCAGGACTTTTAATAGGCTGTAAGATTAACGGTTTAAAATATTTATATACACGTTTATAATAACTTATTCATGATTATTTTTAGTTGACTTTAAAAAGGACGAGGACGAGGTTCTTCAAACGATCTTACTCTATTCGATTGTGTATTTTTTATGTATATTTGCGTCATATTCTGCAATTGAAAACTGTATCATTAAATATTTTTTCCACCCCTAGAGGTGAAAGAATAATCGTTTTTTGATGTTAAGTTTTCTTTTTTATATAAATATTTAAAACAAAATATAGGATCTAGGTAAAAGACAATAAAAATAAAAAAACTCTTCGGGCGCTTGGGAAGAGACAAAGGGTATTTTTTATTTATTTAATCTTTATTATACACCTTATATACTAAGGGATATAAAGGGCGGACTTAAGGTGAATCCCTGACCAAAATGTTGCGAAAGTGCGTTTTTCAGACTCTATTATCTCATTAGTTATGTTAAATAAACTACATCTAAAAGTACATTATTAATGTTCGATATCTTATCATCGCATTGCACGTTCTAATTTATTTTATGTGCTATAAATACATTTTGCATCTGTTGCTAAACGCAACGCTCTAATCATTTGAGGATAACACTAATGGATAGATAATTAAAAAATCTATATTTTCCACGTTTTATTTAAATTTTTAAGTTCGTTTTTTCTCTTTTAATTGAAATAATTCCGAAAATTGTGTGACTTCTATGATAAAGGGGCGTGCGCAGAGTGCGGGCGGCATTACGCTGTATGCGTTAGTACGAGGTGGCCGCGTCGTTGGTCGCCGCGTCCGTATTTCGCCGCAAATATAATATTATTTGAGTACCTACCAACCGATGCGCTTACGTCACGGTATATTGTAACTCGGCCGTATCTTAGAAATAAATCTTACAACCGTGCGGTACGTAAACATCGATAGGGATGCCTGCCTCCAGCATTTTTACATTTGCCCATTGATTTATGTGTTTTATAACTCAATGCATTTTCCTACTTTGTGTTTCCATTTAGTTTTATGATTGTACTTAAATATACTTTTTTATATAAACAAATATATAATAGGTACTTTGTGAATTGAATAGGAAGTGTTCAATAAAAATGCGTGTCGTTTTATGATTGGTAGATTTAATTAAAAAACCATGTTTATGTTTGAATAACAAATCGGTTTTATAAATTTGAGGCCGAAAAATACTTGCGCCTCGGCTGAGACGTACGAAATGCTTTATTATTAAAATTTTAAATATAAAAAATCCGCATTATAATATAAAGCTTAATTAAAATTGTTTTGGGAAACATGGGCAAGTTGGAGTAAAGGAATATCTTTTACTTGGTTATAGATACCTGCAGCTACTTTACAATTTATATGTTTTGGTTTTAAATGAAGTTTGGATTTATTATTTTTTATTTCTATTCTATTTTCTGAAAGAATCCTAGGAAAAGGAATTATCACTGAGTGTTGGCGAACTTTGCATGTCTTCGAAATATTTTTTTTCTTATTTCTCAGACATGCAGGTTTCCTCACATGTTTTCCTTCACCACTGAGCACGTGGTAAATCAACACTTAAAATTGCAATTACAATATTATTGGTGCCGGCGGGGATCGAACCCGGTTTGCTCGCACACTGTGAAAATTTTAGCAAGCGCTAACCATCTGAGCTACCACGGCTCCTCTCCTCTCGAGCTAGAGACTTTATTTTATTTATCGTCAGGCCTGTTGGTCTAGTGGTTAGTGACCCTGACTGCTATGCCGCAGGTCGTGGATTCGATTCCCACCCAGGACAAATGTTTGTGTGATGTGTGTTCTATAATATTTATGTATTTAGAAATATATAAGTATGTTTATCAGTTGTCTAGTACCCATAACACAAGCTCTGCTTAGCTTGGGACTAGATGGCGTTGTGTGATAGTTGTGAAATATTATTATTATTATATTATTATTATTGGGGTATCTGTATAGTTTCTCATCTGGTTGGTTTTTATAAATATCAATAAAATAAAATAAATACAAAAAATATACAAATAAATAAAGATCCAACCATATTAAATAAAAAATAGTCTCCTATCTTTCTCTCTATGTTTTGATCCCCTAAAACGAGTTTGAGTTGGTAAAATCAAGGCAAACTTAGGGTAGGGTTGTCAATTATTATTTTGATAATAAAACTAGTGAAATTCCGCAGTTTTATATGCGCAAGCGTGAACGTCGTTAGAACATAATATAACCTTTATGTTTTACATAAATATCCTAAAAAACTTATTATTTTAATATTTTACTAAGTACCTATAAAATTAACAAGTTTATTGCATTTTTATTTGAGTCATTTTTTATGCAATTTCTTTATCTACGTCTATTTTTAGGAACCTTTATTTAGTCTGAATCATACATAACACTATATTACTGATTTACTTACTTATACGTAGTTTTCTCTTTTGCAGTTACAAATATCTTGTGAGGTTGAAAAAGGCAGTAATGAAAAAATAATAAGAATAATAATAATTGACGTCAGCCACTTCTTTTCATAAAAATTTCAGATCATGGTCCATTAGGTTGCACCTTCACCGAACCACAACTTATAATAATAATAATAACAGTAATAATATAATATTATTTTGTATTTATTTTATTTTATTGATATTTATGTATATTTATCTTTTCATTTTAATTTATAATTTTTATATATTTAAATATTTATATAACCGAACCAGATGAGAAAATTATACGGCTCCAACGATTTTCCATGTTTTCAGGCAATAAAGAAACTGCTACAATATAAGAAGGTAAATTTCGACAAATTACTAACGGTCGTTATAGCTCAGGTGGTATGTCGGTCGGGCGTGATATCGGAGTTCCGTGGTTCGCGTCTTGGCTTTGGTCCCACTTTTTTTTCCTTTTTTTTTTCAAGTTCCCTTCTTTTGTGAGAAAATCTATTATTTCAAACCCTTTTTTTAGTAATTTTTAAAAATACGTAAATTTTAATTTTAAAAATTTAAAAAAATATCTATTTAGTTACTAATGCTATATTTATTATTTTAATAATTACCTACCCAGTAGGTAAATATTAAAATAATAAATTTAGCATTATAAACAGTAAATCTCCCTCAAACTCAATTTACTAATATTGTTCCTAAATAAGGAATAGCAGATAAAAGATTAGTAGGTAATAACTATTGCTCCTCAAAATTATATTTGACCTCAAGGTAAAACATATCCTAAAATTCAGTAGCTAAATAAAATAATAATACCTACTATTCAAGTATATTTTCAATATGTAAGTAAATGAAAATACAAAAATGAAGCACCATTAGCATGTAAAGTTCGAATCCATAATTAATATTTCGACAAATATTATAATTTACACTATAAAAAGCTAATTCAATATTAGCAGTATAGTATATAGTTAAAAATAATCAAAATAGTCATTTTTATTAATTAGATAATATATTAGAATACATAATTCTAATATAATGCAACTAATATAGCGAATAAAGAAAATTAAAATACATTTATCATTGTACGCCGTGTCTATTTCCATAGAATAGTTCATTGACATTGAAAAAATAATACTACGTTCGTAGCAGTAGGTGGCGTCTTTTGGCGATTTCTTACGCGATATATTGTAGCGAGTTTCGACAGACCAAACGCTCAAGGTCGTTTGCTGGAGGTAGCGCCTTAATGCCTTATGGCATTCTCTGCCAGTCAACCCTGGATGATTTGAGAAACTGTGGCAGGTGTAACCAATCACTTCATAAATAAATAATAAGAATATAAAACAAAATAAAATGCAAATGAATAGATTTTTTTGTTATTGTAATCAATTTAATTTTTATAAATGTAGAATTTTCATTAGTATTCCAATTTCAATTATTTCTATTCTATTTTATTTTATGACATGATTTTTCAAATGAACTCAATTATATTTGTATGTCTTTAAGACAAAACATATATTGTATATGCACACCTCATAAGGTAATAATACAGTGTACATATTATAACTTTTCTGTAACACCTTTTATACCTGTGTTATGCAAATAAATGAATTTGAATTTGAATTTGAATTTGAATAGAATAAATATATAGTTAGTAAAATATACATACTTCCTTAATATATAATATAGGATAAATAATAAATATATAAAATAACATAATACATATTAAAATACATTATACAAAATATTACTTATAAAATGAAAGAGAGAAAAAAAAACAATAGTCGGATAGTCAGGTGGTATTATTATTACGACAGAACTCTCGAACTAGTCTTTTAAAATAATTCTTGTTATTAGTTTTCTTGATATAAACAGGCAAGGCGTTCCAGAGCAATCTTAAATTCAAAGAGGGTATCTTAAATTAAAAGAGAA